CATGGACAGGCAAGGGGGTAAAGAGAAGAGTATATGAGACTGGGTTGGAATATAGGCCACATACCAGCTCCAGCATGAGTGTATATTTTATTTGAAGAGCTATCAGAAGCTCTTTAGAAATCTTTCCTCAGAGGTTGAAATTATTGCTTTTTTAAAAAATTAAACTATTGTAAAAATCCTGGGAAACTAGGAGTCTACTTTAGCAGTTCATGTGTGAAATTTGAATTACAGAAAATTGTCATTTTCTTAGCATAAAGAGTTCTATTAAGACCGTAATTAACATATTTAACATCAGTAGGAAATTCACAGACTAATAAATGTAATGACATAAACTGCCCTATAATTTAAGAAAGGCATAGCAAACAGATAAAATTATATTTTTCACCAGTCAGCAAAATTTCACATTGAATCTGAAATTTATATTTTCTGATCAATTTCCATTTTTATACATAATGTTGTCCTCTGTGATATTGAGAGTATTGCTGATACAGAATGTAATACTTTAAAAAAATTGTTTCTTAAAATAGTTTTAAAAGTATAACATTTGTTTACCTTTTTGTTTACTACCTTTCCTCTCTCCTACCCTTTAAAGGTAGACTTTTTGAAAGTGTCACTGAAGACTTGCTCTCCTTCTCCCAAGTCACTAACACCCAATCTCTAAGGTCTGCTGCCTTTTTGCTTTGAAATTTCTTTGAAGGATTTAACAAGTTTCCTGTCCTGAGATGTACTGTATAATGTTCAGTAGAAAATTCTGTGAGGTCATTTCTCAGTAACAAAACTTGACCCAGCCTTAACTCTGTGTGGGTATCTTAAGTCCCCTGAAGCATTGGTCACTGCTTTCTAAGACAATATGGAATTCTGGTAGTAACTTCTTGTTTTAAAGTTGAAACTTAATAATCTTTTGGGAGACTTATAAAAACTTTTTTACTGAAACATAATAGCTTAATGTGTATAGCTTAATGAATTTTCCCAAATAGAATATACTTATTAATTGGCCCCTAGATCGAGAGAGAGCCGAACAAGTACATTTACCACTTTTCCCAATGCTGCTAGAATCTTACACTCCATCCATCCCCTCTTACCATGTGTTAATTATCATGCTTCTCTAGTTTCATGTATATTTTAAACTACAAACTACTGTGTTATCAAATTCATTTATATTTCTTGCATATTCATCTTGTAAAGCAGCCATTTAAAATATATAAACCATTCTTAACTCACAGGCCTTGATTTGGCCCATAGGCCTTAGTTTCCTAATACTTCTGTACTGCAAGTTTCCATCTAGGATCAGTTCATACTGCCTGAAGAGCTCATTGTATTATTTCTTTTAGTCATAGCTGTGCTACACAGATTCCCTTTTTTGTTTATCTGAAACATCCTTATTTCAACTTTGAAGGATTTTTTGGTTGGTACAGAAATCTAGATTGGTATCAGTATTGGTATCAATTCAGTAACTCCGTCGTGTCCAACTCTTTGTGACCCCATGGACTGCAGAACACCAGGCTTCCCTCTCCATCACCAACTCCCGGAGCTTACTCACACTCATGTCCATAGAGTCGGTGATGCCATCCAACCATCTCATCCTCTGTCATCCCCTTCTCTTCCCGCTTTCTATCTTTCCCAGCAACAGGGTCTCTTCCAGTGAGTCAGTTCTTCACATCAGGTGGCCAAAGTATTGGAGTTTCAGCTTCAGCATCAGTCCTTTCAATGAATATTCAGGACTGACTTCCCTTAGGATTGACTGGTTGGATCTCCTTGCAGTCCAACAGCCTCTCAAGAGTCTTCTCCAACATCACAGTTCAAAAGCATCAATTCTTCAGTGCTCAGCTTTCTTTTATAGTCCAACTCTCACATCCATACATGACTACTGGAAAAACCATAGCTTTGACTAGACAGACCTTTGTTGGCAAAGTAATGTCTCTGCTTTTTAATAGGCTATCTAGGTTGGTTATAACTTTCCTTCCAAGGTGTAAGTGTCTTTTAATTTCATGGCTGGCATCACCATCTGCAGTGATTTTGGAGCCCCTAAAAATAAAGTCTCTCACTGTTTTCACTGTTTCCCCATCTATTTGCTATGAAGTAATGGGACCAGATGCCATGATCTTAGTTTTCTGAATGTTGAGTTTTAAGCCTACTTTTTCACTCTCCTCTTTCCCTTTCATTAAGAGGCTCTTTAGTTCTTTGCTTTCTGCCATAAGGGTGGTATCATCTGTGTATCTGAGGTTATTGGTATTTCTCCCAGCAATTTTGATTCCAGTTTGTGCTTCATCCAGCCTGGCATTTCTCATGAGTTACTTTGCATATAAGTTAAATAAGCAGAGTGACAATATACAGCCTTGACATAATCCTTTCTGTTGTTCCATGTACAGTTCTAACTGTTGCTTCTTGACCTGCATACAGATTTCTCAGGAGGCAGGTCAGGTGGTCTGGTATTCTCATCTCTTGAAGAATTTTCCAGAGTTTGTTGTGATCCACACAGTCAAAAGATTTGGCGTAGTCAATAAAGCAGATGTTTTTCTGGAACTCTCTTGCTTTTTCTATGATCCAACGGATGTTGGCAATTTGATCTCTGTTTTTTTTCCTTGTCAGCACTTTAAAGGCATTATTTCATTATCATCTGACTTCCATCATTTCATTTGAGGAGGAAGCTTTCAGTCTTATTGTTGCTCCTTTGAGGGTAATCTCTCCTACTCCATACCAGCTTTTGATAACCAGGTTTTACTTTTTATTCCAATGTGCATAGTTGCCTGCTTGGAATTTGCTCAGCTTCTTGAATCTGTAGATTATCTTGCATCATTTCATAAGATTCTTGACTGAATTACTCAAATATTTCTTCTGTGTCATTCTCTTCTTAAAAGACTGTAACTACACATATATTAGAACTTTTGAGTTTGTCCTAAATGTCTGTGCCTTACACTCATCTTTCTTTCCTTCTCTCTCCTCTGTCTCTTGTTTTAGTATGGATAATTGGATAATCATGACAACAGAGTAATAAAAATACTGTAACTCTTTCAGAGCTACAATGGTTTCCTTCCTGTGTTTCACATCATTTGAGTATGCAAACCTAAGATACTTGTGTATCTGAAATACAAACTCCTTATACTACATAGATTAAAATGTTCATATTGTATGTTTACTGTTTCACATGTATTGAGATGGTCACACTATATGTCACTATTGTTTCTTCGTCAAACAAATTGGAACTGAAATAATATATGAGTAATTTAAAGTACATCATATACTTTATTTCTGCTATTTTCTTTTACATCATCTTAATGTGTTTAGCTGGCCATTGTTACTGAATTTCATCTTGAAAAACAAGAAGCTTTTCTTTTAGTCTTCTGCTACCTCTGCAATAGCTTATTTAAAAAAAAAAAAAAGATTGTTATGTTAACAATATGTAACACATTCTGTGCTAAAATTGAGTGAAAGCAACATTGCCAGCACTGCATTGCTATGACAAAGCATACTGTATAAATGAAAATATCCAAACTTTCACTTTCTCTTTTCAGTGTTTTGACATATCTTTTATTGTATAATGTAGGAACTAACTGTATTTTAATGTATTTGATACATTATCTGTACTTTAATTAAATGAAAAAGAATAGCATAGTTCTTATTTTCTTAAGTATTTTACCACAAATGTACAAGAGGAACTTTGGGTGAGTTATATAGTTCAGAATGCTGCTGCATAAAGTAAATTTTAGGGGAAAGTTCTTATTTCTTATAAAATTATTCAAGCAACATATCTGGCGAACTGACTACCTGCAAAGACACTCTGTTCCTGAGTGCCCCTCACTCACCTGAGTGTAGGCCTGTTCCCATTTTTCCATCATTCTTCATTCTCCCTTGCTCCAATTAGGAGATCATATTTGGTTTAGAAATAGAAAGTCCTGCTTATAAGGAGAAAACAGGTAATTTGAAATATTATGGTTTTCCTAGATCCTAGGGAAGAGAAGCTGTTAGTAAAATAACCAAAGCAGAATGCATGCCACTTCCAACTTGTACCAATTTAAAATATTTCTTCAAGAACATGGACTACAAATTCAGCCAGGCAACTTGGAGCTTACCTCCTGATATTTCCTATGGAGAAGGCAGATTTCTAAATTCAGATCCTGAATTTGGAGGAATAGTACCCATCTTCGACCAGATTCCCATAATTCTCCATCATTACATCCCATACAAAAATTTGGGGCAGGGTTTAATCAGCCCCGTTCCTCCTGGGAGAAGTCTATGGTCATACCTCTGAATGTAACAAATATATTTGAGATGACAAATATATTCTTGTTCATCAAAGACTGCCACAGGGTGCAAGGGAAATTAATCATATTGGCCACCACTATAGGAAAATGGGGGTTTATAGAGTGGAGTTGTTCTAATAGTTTGAGGCTTTGAATGGTTCTAGAAAAGTAAATATTAGACAGCAGCTATGTGTTTTGTTGTTACATTGAGTGGAAAAGAAATATGCTAGATCTTATCTTGTGAAAGAACATGAAAAAATGTGCATTAATGAAGCACTTATCGGAGTGCTAAATCACGTATTTTGTGTACTAAATGCAAGAGAAGTTCTTTAAAAGGAGGCAATCAGATGCCTCAAAGGTAAGTAATCTTTAAAATGGGAGAATAAAGAATGGGCAGGTATATGTGGAAATGAAAACATAATCTGATTTGACAAATATGTGATTACAAAAGAAATGTTCTTACTGTAATTGGAGCAAAAGAGGAAAACAGCCTTGGCATTTTCCTGTGATGTGCCTTATTTACAGTTATTTCAGACTGACTAAGACATCTAGTCAGATTCAAGGGTAAACATGAATTATCATAACCTTAGGTCCAAACTCTGACTCAAAGTTAAAACCATAAAATATCTAAAAATGCTTCTATAATTATGTCTTTATAATGTTTACAAAAGCATGCTACTCTTGTTGATGTCAATATTGTGATAGTTGCATTTTCAGAATCACACTTGCTGTGAAGAAACAAACTCAGTCAGTACCACATTTAATTTACTATAAATCAAAAGATTTATTCATAGCTTTTATGAATTTGCTTTAAAAAAAGCCAAAACAAACATCCCCGTTAAGAAAAAAACTCCCACATCAATTCTATCCAGTATAACTTCTTAGAACGCTAAGATTTTGCCACACTTGTTACAGTGGTGGTTTTTCCCCAGGATAATTCTGTAGGTTTGAAATACTTCAGAAAGTCACCCTATGTTAAGTTCATTTATAGGGTTGCTTTTTCCCCCTTAGAAGAGTATTTTAAAATTTCCCATTGTGTTTGTTTGACTTTTCTGCATTATGAATTTTCTTATCTCTAGGAAAAAGTATAGGCTTCCCTGGTGACTCAGTGGTAAACAATCTGCCTGCAATGCAGGAGATGCAGGGTTGATCCCTGGGTCAGGAAGATCCCCTGGAGAAGGAAATGGCAAAGCACTCCAGTCGTCTATCCTGGGAAATCTCATGGACAGAGGACCCTGGCAGGCTACAGTCCATGGGGTCGAGTTGGACACGACTTAGTGACTAAACCACTCACCACCACCACCACCAGATGAAGAATCTTCTCAATACTGATTGATTTCATCTTCTATTGTTACAAAAGAGAATAAGCAGCTATTAATGGCTTTCCCAAATATTCCTGGGGGTTTTCTCCAGAATACTGACTACAGCATAGACAACATTTTAATCACAACATATTCACATAAGGCTTCTTTTCAAGAGTTCACTGAAGTCAAAGTAAGGCATTAACTACTTTTTAAAAAAAATCTATACATTCTTAGGTTTTGTCTATCGTGTGAATTCCCTGGTGTTCAGTAAGGAATGAGTGGTAATTAAATGAATTTTCATATTCATAGGGGTTCTCTAGAGTGTGTGTTCTCTCATGTTTAGCAAGGTTTGAGCTCCAGCTAAAGGATTTATTGCATACCTTACATACATAGGGCTTCTCCCCAGTATGAGTTATCTGATGTAGAATGAGGGAAAAGCTCCTACTAAAGGTTTTGTCACATTCAGTACATGCGTAGGGTTTTTCTCCAGTATGAATTTTCATATGTTGTGCAAGGGATGCATGCCATGTGAAAACTTTACCACATTCATCACACTCATAGAGCTTTTCTCCAGCATGAATTCTCTGATGTTTGACAAGGAAGGAGTGGCAACGGAAAGCTTTACTGCACTCATTACATTCATAGGGGGTTTTGGAGGTATGGACACTCTGATGTCGGGTAAGATGTGAAGAACGGCGAAATGCCTTCCCACACTCAATGCATTCATAAGGTTTCTCTCCAGTGTGTGTAATCTGGTGACGAATGAGTTCAGAGCCACTGCTAAAGGCCTTCCCACATTTCCTGCATACATATTGTTTCTTTCCTATGTGAATTCTCTGATGTCGAGTGAGGTTTGAGGCACGACTAAAGGCCTTTCCACATTCAGTACACTCATAGGGTTTCTCCCCAGTATGCGTTCTCTGGTGTTCAATGAGGAAAGAAAGGTAACTGAATGTTTTATTACAGTCTTTACACTCATGGGGTTTCTTTCCCGTATGTATCATCTGATGTTTTACGAGGTTTGAGATCTGGCTAAAGGTTTTTCCACATTCCTTACATACATATGGTTTCTCTCCAGTATGAGTTCTTTGATGTAGCACGAGGGAAAAGCGCCGACTGAAAGTTTTTCCACATTCATGGCATCCATAGGGTCTCTCCACAGTATTGACATTCACATGCTGAGACAGAGCTTCTTGATGGGAAACTGTCACTTGCCTGATACATCCCTGATTTCCCTGCAGAATCTCAGTATCATGTTCACATTTCCAGCCTTCTTTAAAACTGGGATACTCAGAGCCTTGGCTTAGAAATCTTTCCATTATCAAATACTGGGATGAATTATCTTCAAATATGACATTTTTTGGAGAAAACTCTTTGATCTCACCATTTGGCTTTGAAGCTGAAAAAAAGCAAATATTTTTTTATTTTCTGTATTGAGTAAAATAAAAGCCATTCTTCCATTTTTAAATGAGAATTACATTGAAAAAAAAATCTTAGCATTGCATGACTTTTATAGTTGTCATGTCTTTGAAATCTGAGCAGTATATATCCAGAAATCCAGAAATTCAGAAGACATTAAACAGAAAGATGTAGGTGAATTAGGAGACTAAAGATAAGTAATTGAAGGTGAGGGAAAAATAAAACTATTAGGAAGATAAATAATTCTAAAGGATAGGTGGTTAATCATCCTCACCTCTATTTAAACTTTATTTGCTGTCAGAATGGCTTGAAAATGACAATTGTATTTGCAACTCTGGAAGTTTAAAATTATTTCCAACCTGGTATACAGATTCAACAAAATACAAATCAAAATCCCAGCAAGTTATTTCACAGATCTCAAATAACTGACTCTAAATTTAGTTTATACAAAAAAGAAAATGATGTAGAATACCTAACACAGTACTGAACAACAGTCAAAGGACTGACTCTTGACTTCAAGACTTCTGTAATGCTACAGTAATCAAGATAGAGCAGCACTGGTGAAAGACTAGACAAGGAGATAAATGGAACAGAGCAGAGAGTGCACAACAGATCTGCATGATTATAGTCAACTAATCTTTGACAAAGGAGCAAGGACAACACAAGAAGCAAATACAGTCTTCTCAAAAAATGGTACTGGAATATCCACATGCATAAAAGTGAACCTAGACACAGACATTACACTGTTAACAAAAATTAACTCAAAATGGATTACAGAACTAAATGTAAAACACAAAACTATAAAACTTCTAGAAGATAACAAAGGAGAAAACATAGATGATGTTAGTTATAGTGATGACTTTTTGGATTTAACATCAAAGGCACAATCCATGAAAGAAGTAATTGATAAGGTGGACATCACTAAAATTAAAAACCTCTGTTCTGCAATAGCCAATGTCAAGAGAGTAAGAAGACAGGATGCAAAGAGAGAAAATATTTGCAAAAAGACATATCTGACAAGAGTTACTACCCAAAATATACAAGGAACTCTTAAAACTCAAGAAAATGAACAACCCAATTTAAAAATAGGCAAAAGTCATGAACAGACATCTCACCAAAGAAGATATATAGGTGGCAAGTAAGAATATAAAAAGATATTCAAAATCATATGTCATTCAGTTCAGCAGCTCAGTCATGTCCGACTCTTTGAGACCCCATGAATCGCAGCGTGCCAGGCCTCCCTGTCCATCACTAACTCCTGGAGTTTACTCAAACTCATGTCCATCGAAACAGTGATACCATCAGCCATCTCATCTGTCATCCCCTTCTCCTCCTGCCCCCAATCCCTCCCAGCATCAGGGTCTTTTCCAATGAGTCAACTCTTCACAGGGGTGGCCAAAGTATTGGAGTTTCAGCATTAGTCCTTCCAATGAACACCCAGGACTGATCTCCTTTAGGATGCACTGGTTGGATCGCCTTGCAGTCCAAGGGACTCTCAAGAGTCTTCTCCAATACCACAGTTCAAAAGCATCAATTTTTTGGCACTCAGCTTTCTTCACAGTCCAAGTCTCACATCCATACATGACCACTGGAAAAACCATAGCCTTGACTAGACGGACCTTTGTTGGCAAAGTAATGTCTCTGCTTTTTAATATGCTGTCTAGGGTGGTCATATTAGGGAATTGTAAATTAAGATGATATACCACTACACACCTATCAAAATAGCCAAAATTCTCTAACAACATATGCTGACAAGGATGTGGAACAACAGGAACTCTTATACATTGCTGGTGGGAATGAAAAATGGTACAGCCACTTTGAAAAACAGTTTGTTAGTTTCCTATAAAACTGAACATCCTCTTATCATACAATTCAGCAATCACATTCCTTGGTATTTACACAAATAATTAAAACATGTTCACACAAAAACCTGCACATGGAAGTTTACAGCAGCTTTATTCATAACTGTCAAAACTTAGAAACAAGATGTTTTTCAGTAAGAGAATGGAAAACCGTGATACATCCAGACTATGGGATATTACTCAGCACTAAAAAGAAATGAGCTATCAAACCATGAAAAGGTATAAAGGAATAAGCCTTAAATGAATAATATTAAGTGAAGAAAGCCAATCTGAAAAAGCTAAACACTATGAATTCAACTATATGATACTCTGGAAAAGGAAAAACTACGGAAACAGTAAAAAGATCCATGGTTGCCAGGGGTTAGGGGAAGAGAGTGATGAATAGGCAGAGATTGAGAATTTTTAGGGCAGTAACACTATTCTGTATCATACTAACATATGGATACATGTCATTACACATTTGTCAAAATGCACAGAATGTACAAAACCAAGGAAGAACCTAAGGTTAACTATGGACTTAGGGTGATAATGATATGTCAAGGTATGTTCATCAGTTGTGAAAAATGTAGTACTGTGGATATTGTCAGTAAGGAAGACCAGACAAGGGTGGGAATGGGCAGGGGAACTCTGTACTTTCTGTACTCAGTTTTGCTGTGAACCTAAGACTGCTTTTTTAAAAAATAAAGTTTATTAATTAATAGAAAAATCACATCATTTGCAGGAAAGGTTTAAGATATTATTAAAATGCCACAGTAAAGACAGAGAGAAAAATATACAAAGTCACTAGCATTCCTATAGAAAAGCAATATAACTTCTTAGAAAAGAAACTTTAAAAAGTTGCTTAAGAATAAATTCAACAACAGGGGTACAGAGATTTTACAAAGAAAATTCAAAATCTTGAGAAGCTGTACTGTTAACTCCTAAATGTATACTTTAACTCAGCATCAGCATCACGGGGCCTTGTTAAAAATGTAAATTCTTGAGTTCTATCCCAAACCTAATGACTCTGGATTTCTGGAGAGGGGCCTGGAGGTATGTTTTAAAACAATCCAGAGGACTAAAATTTGAGAAGCACTGTGATCTCTCTCTTAAGATCTAAAATATGATATTCAGTTGCCTACTGAATTTATATACTTGAGTATCCCAAAGATCCAAAATTTAGTAAGTTACAAATTGATATAATCTTTCTTCTTTCAAACTTGCTCATGCTTTTTCTCTTCCAAGAAATAATAATTTACCACCAAAAAAAAGTGATATCAATCACAATTCCTCAGTCATCTTCATGTCATTTATCTAGTCAATCACCAGGTCTTTCTGAGTTCACTTCCTTACTTTGTTGCCATCTGTATACCTTCTTCCATTCCCTGGACACCTCCAATGGTTCAGGTGATGATTACATCTAGATTAGGTTATGGAAACAACTCTTAAATGACTATCCTGTTTCCTAGGCTTGCTTCCAATAAATCTGTTTCCCAAACTTCAGCCAGAAGGATGTCACTAAAGTGCTCACCTGCCTAACATCTTTGGATGACTCCCTATTAGCCTAGGGATGAACTCTAAGTTCATTAATATGGCCTGTAAAATACCTGCATGATCTGACCTGTGCTTTACATAACCATCCTTAATTCCCACCATTTTCCTCCTATACTTTATACTTTTGCTCAATCTAAACTGAACCTCATCCTCTTACTTTATTAGCATGATCTTTACGCATGCTGTAACTGTTTTTTTCTTCACTTATAAAATATGAATGGCTCCAAGCATGTACATATGGAGTAAGTACACTCTGACTGGTTCTCCCACTGAGTACAAGTGAAAACCATGAACAGAGTGCATAAAGGAGCTAGCTGAGGACTCTAAAAGGTAAACGGTAGCAAGCTGACTGCAGAAGGAAGCCAGAACACAAAGTAACACAACTGGTGGTGAGTTTCTTGTTTTTTTCCCCATCTCCAATCTCTCCAGGCCTAAAGTCAAATGCAACCTGAAAGCAAGAACTGGGCAACAGGTAAAGAGCTCCAAGAGAAGCCTCTATTTCTGTCTTATAAATGGGAAAGGGGGGGTCCATACAGAGAAACCTTATTGTTCATTTCCCATTCTCTCCTGCCTAAATCCAAAGCATGTTGCAGCAGTGATGGCCATATCAGTTCAGTTCAGTTCAGTTTAGTTGCTCAATAGTGTCCGACTTTGCGACCCCGTGAGTCGCAGCACGCCAGGCCTCCCTGTCCATCACAAACTCCCGGAGTTTACTCAAACTCATGCCCATCGAGTCGGTGATGCCATCCAGTCATCTCATCCTCTGTTGTCCCTTTCTCCTCCTGCCCCCAATCCCTCCCAGCATCATGGTCTTTTCCAACGAGTCAACTCTTTGCATGAGGTGGCCAAAGTATTGGAGTTTCAGCTTCAGCATCAGTCCTTCCACTGAACACCCAGGACTTATCTCCTTTAGGATGGACTGGTTGGATCTCCTTGCAGTTCAAGGGACTCTCAAGAGTCTTCTCCAACACCATAGTTCAAAAGCATCAATTTTTCAGCACTCAGCTTTCTTCACAGTCCAACTCTCACATCCATACATGACCACTGGAAAAACCATAGCCTTGACCAGATGTACCTTTGTTGGCAAAGTAATGTCTCTGCTTTTTAATATGCTATCTAGGTTGGTCATAACTTTCCTTCCAAAGAGTAAGTGTCTTTTAATTTCATGGCTGCAGTCACTATCTGCAGTGATTTTGGAGCCCCCCAAAATAAAGTCTGACACTGTTTCCACTGTTTCCCCATCTATTTCCCATGAAGTGATGGGACCAGATGCCATGATCTTAGTTTTCTGAATGTTGAGCTTTAAGCCAAGTTTTTCACTCTCCTCTTTCACTTTCATCAAGAGGCTTTTTAGTTCCTCTTCACTTTCTGCCATAAGGGTGGTGTCATCTGCATATCTGAGGTTATTAATATTTCTTCTGGCAATCTTGATTCCAGCTTGTGCTTCTTCCAGCCCAGCGTTTCTCATGATGTACTCTGCATATAAGTTAAATAAGCAGGGTGACAATATACAGCCTTGACATACTCCTTTTCCTATTTGGAACCAGTCTGTTGTTCCATGTCCAGTTCTAACTGTTGCTTCCTG